ATCCAGCTGCCCAGCCACTCAGCCAGGCCCCGCCAAGTTGACATACAACTTTAATGACCACAGGTGGCTTATAGTCCCATCTTTATCGTTGTCTAAACTTTTACAATCAATTACTGTGGAAAAGTGACATCTCCGTGGCCTTCCGGGAGAGGCTGGTTTGTATCCCTGACCTGGTGCTTGTGTTTTGTGCCTCAGCAGTCACCTTCGTCCCGGTGTCCAAGGTGAGCGGGCGGGCAGAAGTGGATGATGTCCTTGCGGCCGTCCGGCCCACCACGTGCCTTGTGACCATCATGCTGGCCAACAACGAGACTGGTGTCGTCATGGTGAATCGGTTTTCTTTTTTCTCTTAAGAAGTCTGATGGGTGGAAGGGAGCTTAGACCCTGCTGGAGTCTAGTGTTTCTTGCCTTGGGCTGTTCTTTTTCTCTCTTCTTCAGCTCTGTCATTTTTCTTGCTTGTCCTCCTTGACAACTCCTTCCTTCTTTCCTTCATCTTCATCAAACCAAGCCACACACTCAACAGTTTGTTTTACCTGCTGCAGCGTGTCCCTGAAATCAGCCAGCGTATCAAAGCCCTGAACTCGAGGCGAGTGGCCTCAGGGCTGCCCCGCATCCTGGTGCACACAGATGCCGCCCAGGCACTGGGGAAAAGGCGCGTGGATGTGGAGGACCTGGGAGTGGACTTCCTCACAATCGTGGGGCACAAGGTAGCATCTGAGCAGCCTCAGCCTCCTGGGTGGGGAGACCCCTCACTCACTCAAGGCTGTGAAACAGCACCACAACGTCCTCATTACTCACGTGCCCATCCCATTACCTTTAGTGCCTCCTGTGGTCCCTGCCTTCAAGGAGCTTCCAGAAAGGGAGGTTAACACAGCTGGGATGCCATTTGCCGAATGCCATGCAGGGGGGCACACGTGGGACAGGAATGGGGTGGGTAGGCAAAGCTTCCAGAGGTCACTGAGGCCAAAGTAAGGATGTAGGACAGGTGGAGTCCTGCCAGGTGATGGGAAGAGAGCATTTGCAGAGACCTTGTCCTCCCAACACAGACCACCCTGCACTAAGGCCAAAAGATGTGTGCTGCTTTTTCTAACTTGACTTGAAGTGGAGCTCCTGAAAGAAAAGGTTTAGGATTAGAGACTTTTATTTAAGGCTCTGGTGGTGTAGTGCCTAAGGCATTTGACTCCTAACCAGAAGGCTGGAAGTTCAAACCCACCAGCCACTCTGCAGAAGGAAGACTGGACAATCCACTTCCGTAAAGATTTACGACCTCAGAAACCCTAAGGGGGTCACTGTGAGTCAGAATTGACTCGTTGGCAGTGAGTTTTTTGGATCTTTAAGGCAAAGTGGGGATGATAACAGCTGGGGTTGAAGCCCCTGCTCACTTCCTGGCAGTGACAAGGGCCTGGAACACGTGAGTGTTCTGTGTTGAAGCACCGTCCTTGGTTAGTTCCCAAAGGACTCTCTGTTGGCCTGGCACTGTCACACTTAACATTTTTATGGAACATTGATTTGAAAGCATGGGCTCAGCTACATGGAAAACCCTGGCACCTCTACTTCCAACCTGCTCCTCTTACAAATCCAACACACGGTGTGTGGACGAATCTGCCTGCCATAGAGCTGGGGGTAGAGTCCAGCACCGGCCTGCATCTCCAGCATACCCTGACGGGTGGTGGGTTCCTGCATGCCCCATGGGGTGCTGGGTCCTGGTGTGCCCTGCGGTGTGCCAGGTCCCAGTGTGCCCCCCTGTGTGTTGGGTCCTGGTGTGCCCCATGGTGTGCTGGGTTCCGGTGTGCCCCACGGTGTGCTGGGTCCCAGCGTGCCCCGAGGGGTCCCAGCATGTCCCTGGTGTGCTGGGTCCTGACGTGCCTGCAGTATACCTGGCATGCCCTGCGGGGTCTGACAGCATGGCTGGGGCCCCAAGGGAGCCAGGCAGGGCATGCCCATCATAGAGCATGCCTTGTGCATCCACTCAGCACTCAACACATGTGCAGAACAGGGCCTTCCAGAGTCCCCGTTGAGTAAAGGACTTCTCATTCTTTCAGTTCCATGGCCCCAGGATTGGAGCACTCTACGTCCGAGGCCTTGGTGAACTGACCCCTCTGCACCCCATGCTGTTTGGAGGTGGGCAAGAACGGAATTTCCGGCCAGGGTAAGGTCGAAGCTAGCCAAGTCTTGATGCAGTGGCCTGGCCATTTGTCTGTAGAACAGTGACTCCTTAAACGCTGTGGGGCTTCTCTTGTCCCTTGGACACACACAGTAGCCCTTCCACATCATTACTGAGCTGGAGCGGGTTCTACTGACCCGTCTCTTCCCTTGGGTTCACCAAGGGCAGAAGATTGGGGGTGGTCGAAAGCAGATGAAGGAGACCTGTTTCTTTTCATGCTTCAAAGAAGCCACTTGCCCATGGCAACAGGTGTGGGGAGTGCATTAGCATGGTGGCCAGACACACCTGGCCAGGTCAGACCTGGCCCTGCCACAGACAGACTACATGAGCTGGGTGCATCATTCACTCTCTTTGGCTTCAGTTTCCTTATCAGTTAAAATGGGGGTGATTGTGAGGCTTGAATCATACTGCTGGCACAAAGGAAGCCATCAGTGAGTGTTGGGTACTGTTGTCAGTCTTGTTATTGTGCAGCCCAACAAAGAGATGCTGCTGGAGCCTTCATGACTGAAATGTATGTGTGCCTTTAACAGTGGGGACAGGAGGGTCATGTGGAAGCACTTGGTTTTCCTTCTAATAGCTCCTGACTATAATGAGATGGCACAGACTCCAAAATTCTGATGACAGAAATTAAAGATTTAAATAAATGGAGAGACATACCATGTTCATGGATTGGAAAACTCAACATAGTAAAGATATCAATTCTCCCAAAAGTGATATACAGATTTAATGCAATTCCTGCCAAAACCACCAAGATTTTTTGTAAATATAGACAAGGTTATTTTAAAACGTATATAGAAATGCAAAGGAATTAGAATAGCAAAAACAATTTTGAGAGAGAAGACTAAATCAGGGGTAATTAGTCAACCTAATTTCAAGACTGTGTGGTATCGGTAGAGAGATATACAGGTGGCTCAGCACCCAGAAGTAGAGCCACACTCATGTGCGCAGAACACAGCCCCCAGGAGTGGATCCGGATACCTCTGCGCAGAACACAGCACCAGGAGTGGATCTGGACACCTCCGCACAGAACACAGCACCCGGAAGTAGACCACACACATGTGCCCCACTGATTTTTGAGAAAGATTCAAAAGCCAGCTAACAGAAGCATGAGAGCCTTTTCAAGAAATGGTGCTGGAGCGATTGGTCACCCGTGTGCAAAGAATGAGCCTCAGTCCAAGCTGACACCTTATAAAATGTTAAATAGATCGTAGACTTAAGTGCAAAACACAAATCTAAACATTTAGAAAAAAATTTAGAAAATCTTCAGGATTTAGGGCGAGGCAAACAGTTCTTAAACTTGACAACAAAAGCATGAAACATAAATGGAAAAATTGATAAATTCAGCTTTATGAAAATGATTTTTTTCTCTGCAAAAAGACCTTGCTAAGAGAATAAAAAGACAAGCTACAGACTGGAAAGAGGTATCTGCAAACCATGTATCTGGCAAAGGACTAGTACCCAGACTGTATAAAGAACTCAGACTTGACAGCAAAAAAAAGCAACAAATCCAATCAGAAAGTCATTTCACTGAAATGGATATACAGACGGCAAGTAAGCACATAAAAGGTCGAGCAGCGTAGCCATTAGGAAGTGCAAACTGGAGCCACAGTAGGGATCACTGCGCACCCATCGGAACGGCCAACCTGACAGAGCAGCGAGACGCCAGGGCTGGTGGGGACGTGAGAAGCCGCCCTCACACGCTGCTGGGAGGGTGGACAGTGGGCCGCCGGGCTGGTGGCCGCCCTCACGCTGCTGGAAGGGTGGACAGTGGGCCGCTGGGCTGGCAACCGTTGGGCAGCTTCTTGAGACGCTAAGGATGTAATTTCCATACAACCCAGGAGGTCACTTCATGACATATACCCCAAAGAAGTGAAGACTGTGTGTGCACAAAGCCTGTGCACCAACATTTGTAGCAGGTTCATCTGTAAGAGCCTGAGACTGCAAACTCCCCGACGCCTGCAAGGGGTGAACGGTTAAGCATACTGTGGTATGTCCACATCACGGACTACACTCAACAATAAAAGAGATCAAACCATTGACACAGCTGCTACCAGGGTGACTCTCTGACGAGCGTGCTGGGTGAAGGAAGTCAGTCCCAAAAGACATCCCACTGGGTGGCTTCATCTATACAGCATCCTTGAAAGGACGGAATTCTAGAAAGGGATGACAAATGAGGCCTTAAGGCATTGAGAAGGGGGTGGGCAGGAGGGCAGTGAGTGTGGCTGTAAAAGGGCGGCATGAGGATCTCTGTGGGATGGAGTATTCCGCATCTTGGATCTGTGGCCCTGCCATCTTCGGGTGGCAGTCCTGTACGGTACTTTTCCAAGGTGACGTTTGAGGAGACTAGTTAACGAGTCTGTCTGTATCATTTCTGACACCTGTGTGTGAATCAACAATTATCTCAAAATTAAAGATTTCATTTAAAAGATCAGATGTTCTGGCAAACGTAAGTAGCAGCTCAGGGTTGTCAGACACGGTGGGGAGAGCAGAGGAGGGCTGACTGCTACCAGGGGCTTGATGGCCTGGCCTGGTGCCCTACTGGGCCGGCGCTGCTCCACCTGGCACCTCTGCTGGGCCACTGCAGGTCCCAGACTTTCAGCACCGCTGCTCAGCCCTTGCCCTAGCTGAGCTGTCCTCCAGAGGAGCAAGCTGAGTCCAGGAAGGGGATGTGACTGGGCTGGGAGCCCACGCTGAGGAGGAGGCTGGGCTGAGGACAAAGTCCAGGCCCCCTGTGCCCAGTCCAGCCCTCGCCAGGCACCTGGCCGCCCACACCCGGGAATGGAGCTGACCAGCCGAAGCGTTGTCAGAGCAGGATCGGCTCGGGCAGGTCCGCTGTCCCTCGCGGGGGCTGTACACCTGTTTATCTTGTTATCTGCTGGTCAACAAGCAGGATCTGGTTCCGAAGGTTTGAGAAGACTTTATTCGGCCAAAACTTAACAGGAAGAAAAATCTGTTTATTCAGTCAAGGCTTTACTTTCCTGGAAATGGGGCAACGGGTTCTGTTTTGCAGTTTGCTGGATCGAAGTGTGAGAGCCACTGGTCTTCAAGGGCTCTCATGTCCCTCTCCTGAACACACATACTCACCCCACATGCACACACACCCACACCCACACCCACACCCACAGGCATGTTCACATACACATACCCCACCATGGACACACACACACAACACATACTCACATACTCACCCCACATGCACACACCCACACCCACACCCACAGGCATGTTCACATACACACACCTCACCATGGACACACACACACAACACATACTCACATACTCACCCCACATGCACACACACACACACCCACACCCACAGGCATGCTCACATACACACCCCTCACCATGGGCACACACACACAACACATACATACTCACACCACATGCACACACACCCACACCCACACCCACAGGCATGCTCACATACGCACACCCCACCATGGACACACCCACACAACACATACTCACATACACACCCCGCTGCATACATGCCCCAGGTACTCACACCCCCCACCATGTGCACACCCCCCACACATGCATATTTACATACACACCCCATGTGCACACACCCACATACACACACATGCATATTCACATACACATGCACCCACCATGGACACATACACCATATACACACACATACATACACACCCCACCACGTGCACACCCCCCCACACAGACCACACACAGGCATATTCACATACACACCCCACCACGTGCACACACACCCCACATACACACACATACATACACACCCTACCACACACACACCACACATACCCACATATTCACATACATATCCCACCACATTCACACACACCACCACCATGTGAACATACACACCCCACATCCACACACACATACACACCCCACCACATACATACACACACACACACACCCTACCACCTGCACGCCCCCACATACACACACTCACACACCACACATGGGCATACTCACACACATACATATCCCAGCACGTGCACACACACCCCACATACACAGATGTACACTCATACCCCACATGCGTATTCTTACCACACACATATCTACACAGCACCACACATAATACACTCCTTCCACAGTTACACCATACACTCACACCCACATGCATACATACATGCACTACACATGTGTGCACACAGCATCACATGCACATCTCACACACATGCACCCTGTATATACACACACACACACAGCACCACATGCCCTGTGCACACTCACACACTACTCTCATGTATCCACCAAAAGCACATACAGTACACACTCTACCACTTGCACACGTACACACACCCCATCGCCCACATACACACCCACATGCACATTCATTCACACATGGACACATGCATCACCACCCCTCACAAACACCCCTCTTATTTGCTGATGCCAGAAATACCCATCGCCCACATATACACCCACATGCACGTTCATTCACACATGGACACATGCATACACACCCACATGCACACTCATTCACACATGGACACACACATACACACCCACATGCACACTCATTGACACATGAACACACACAACGGTTGCTTCCACATCATCACTGAGAGGCTTATGTGAAGGTGGCATCGCGTGTCACGGCTGAGCCCTCAAAGGAAGTCACTGATCACATGTAGATAATTGTAGGAATTCCACTGTGTGGATCATAACTAATTATAGGTAAAATTGTACAGAATGGGAATTCAAGAACCCTAATTGTGCTCATGAGGAACCTGTACCTAGACAAGAAGTAGTCGTTCAAACAGAACAAGGGGCCACTGCATGGTTAAATCAGGAAGGGTGTGTCAGGGTTGTGTCCTCTCACCACATTCAGTCAATCCGTATGCTGAGTTTATAGTCCAAGAAGCTGGACTATGTGAAGAACAAGGTGGCATCAGGATTGGAGGAAGGCTCAGTAACAGCCTGTGGCATGCAGATGACCCAGCCTTGCTTGCTGAAAGTGAAGAGAACTTGAAGCACTTACTGATGAAGATCAAAGACTACAGCCTTCGATATGGATTACACCTCAACGTAAAGAAAAGAAAAATCCTCACAACGGGACGAACAAGCAGCATCACGGTAAATTGAGGAAAGATCAAAGTTGTCCAGGGTTTGTTTTCCTTGAGTCCACAATCAGCACCCACGGAAGCAGCAGCCAAGAAATCAGACGTTGTATTGCACAGGGCAAATCTGCTGCCAAAGACCGCTTTACAGTGTTGAAAGGCAAAGATGTCACTATGAGGACTAAAGTGCACCTGACCCAAGCTGTGGTATCTTCCGTCGCTTCTTATGTATGCAAAAGCTGGACGATGAATAAGGAAGACCAGAGAAGAAGTAATGCCTTTGAACTATGGTGTTGGCAAAGATACTGACTATGCCATGGGTGACCAGAGGGACGAGCACGTCTGTGCTGGAAGCGGTACAGCCAGAAGGTTCTTGTGAAGCTCAAGCGCACCAACAACTGTGAGCACGGGGCAGGGCTGTGCAGTGTCTCCTTCTGTTAGACACAGAGTCCCTGTGAGTTGGAGCACAGCTATCTGTGCTTGGCTGTAGGACCACAGAGCAGAGTGCTCTGGGGCCCGCAGGAGGAGGGGCTCCCCCATGAGGGGAAGGGCCTGCCCGGAATGGCAGGCTTTGTCCACGCTTGGCCATTTGATCAGGCCAGGGCTGTGACAACTTTGCCTGGAGGCCGTTGGGGCCTGCAGCTGGCACCGTGGCCACTGCGTGACATGGGTTTGGTAACAGTTGGGGGGACGTTCCTATTTTCACACAATTGTCACGTAAACAAGACACTTGTCTGTTGTGCCCCCATCCTCTCATACCTGCTGTGCATTGGGACAGGACTTAACCCTTGTCTCTTACAGGACGGAGAACACCCCAATGATTGCAGGCCTCGGGAAGGTGAGTCCGGCATGCAGCTCACCCTTCCTAGGCGGGGCCTGGCCAGTGGGGGCTGCACCCTGCCACCATCTCTGTCCCAGGTCCCTGCAGTCCCCGTCTGCATGAGCTCTCTCCTTCGCAGCACCACCCTAGTCGGAGCCATCTGCCCCCCTCCACCACTCTTGTCTGAAATGTCTCTTCCCTGGAGATCTCGATGGCTTCTGGTCTCACCAGAAGGCTCTAGAACTGTCCGACAGTCAGTTCCTGTTGAATGAAGGAATGAGGCTCTCCACGTTCCTCTCGGGACCCCGGGTACATGTCTGCACTCAGTGGACCCTGTCCGCTTAGAACATTCACGAAGTGTGAGGCGACACGCCTCGCTGCTCCCCTCGGTTCTGCAATGGCACGCTCCCCAAGTGCACACTGAGCAGACTGGGTTTCTGTGTCCCCAGGCCGCAGAGCTGGTGGCTGAGAACTGTGAGGCTTACGAGGCCCACATGCGAGACGTCAGAGACTACCTGGAGTTGAGGCTGCAGGTGAGCCGTGTCAGCTGGACTTGGGCCACCAGGGGCGTCAGGGAGCAGCCAGGGCAGGAGGACGGTGGGGGGCTGCGTTTGTGGGACCCACTCAGGGAGCACACTGCGGAGATGAGGAGAGGGGAGGGTCAAACGAGGAAGCACAGGTTGGAATCGAAACCCCCGGAGAGACTCTGGACGAGTGATGCCCTTCCTCTCAGGGCCGTGAGGCCGACACACCAGCAACGGTGTGCCGTGATCGTAAAGAAGGTCCGGGTTGATCAGGGTTTGTCCCCGAATTACCTGTGCTTTTTATAGTCAGGCCCCTGAACTACTGTAAGTAGATGCTTATCAGTAAGCTAGTTATTTCCATGTTGAAATTTTGTTTCCCAGAAAAACCTAAAGTTCAAAGAACTGGTGTATGTGGGGGGGTGTTACTGATACTACGCTTACTTTTTCAGGCCGAATTCGGTAAGGAAAGGGTCCGTTTGAACAGCCGGTTTCCAGGGACAGAGCGACTTCCCAACACCTGCAACGTTTCCATCCGCGGACCCCAGCTTCAAGGTGACTGCTCGGCACCTCCTGACCCTGGCAGTTCCCATTCAGAGCTGGCACCACCCGGCTGTCACTCCCAGGCCAGCTGCGTCATCACAGGGCTCTTGCTGAGGTGGCTGACCGCTCGGCCCAGAGATTAGGCTGATGGTCCCTGGGGCTCCAGTCATTCCCACCGCCCCTCTCCCTGACTCTGCCCGCTGCACTGCTGCTTCAAATGCGGGCAGTTCTCTGCTCTGAGCAGTCATTAGCACCCACCCCAAAAGCCATTAACTCACTGCCGTCAAGCCGGATCTGACTTCTAAGGCAGTATCTCTATGGAAGTAGATTGCCCAGTCTTCCTTCTGAGGAGTGGCTGGTGGGTTTGAACCACTAGCCTTCTGGTTAGCAATCAAATGCCTTAGGCATTGCGCCACCAGAGCTCCTACATAGGTAGGTGGGCGGGTGGGCGGGCAGGCAGGCAGGTAGACAGACATTCCCTCCCTGGTAACCAGCAGCGAACGTCTCCTGCCAAGTTCCTCGACTTTTTACAGTCGTGGGCTCGTACGGTACCCGTCCCCTGTGACAGCCTTGGTCCACTCAGCAGGATGCCCTCCAGGTCCATCCTTGCTGTTCAGGCTTCTCCAGACTCTGCATCATTCCTTGGTGTTCTGTGCCGTCAAGTCGGCCCCGACTCACAGCGACCCCTCCTTGGGTTTCTGAGCTGGTATCACTGCGGAAGAAGATCGCCCAGCCTTCCTCCTGAGGGATGGCTGGTGGGTTTGAACGGCCAACCTTCTGGTTAGCAGTCAAATGCCTTAGGCATTACGCCATCGGAGCTTAGGTAAGAAAATAAGGCCGGATCTTGGACCAGCCGGTTGGTGCATTTTGGTGCGTTTCGTTAGCGTGTTTAGAAACTGCAGGTCAGCCTCGTTGCGTTGCGTTGCGCTTTGCAAACGGAAGGTCTGTGGCAGCCCTGCGTCCCACAAGTCTGCCAGCTCCAGCTCCCCGAGAGCATGTGTCTCTGTGTGTCCCATGTTGGTCATTCTCATGGTATTTCAGACTATTCCATCATGCTGTCACATGCTTCACAGATGACAGTGGAGTGTGAACATAACTTGTACGTGCCCTGGGACCCCAGACGACGCGTTAGACTCACTTCACAGATGACAGGGGAGTGTGGACATAACTTGCACGTGCCCTGGGGCCCCAGACGACGCGTGAGACTCACTTCACTGCGAGTATCTCACAGTATGAACCGCGGTATCTCACAGGTTGGCCTGTGCTCCACGGGGTGTAGGAGCTGGAGAGGAGGATGTAAGAGCCAGGAGCAGGGCGGGACGCGAACCTGCAGGCTTGTTTGTGGCCGAGCTCTCTCCCCACCCCCACCCTGTTGCCGGAAACGGGAAATCAGTGAAGTCCCCAAACACAGGAAACTCGGCCTGAGCCCGAGTGGGAAGGGCGGGGCGTTGGCCCCGCATGTTTTCTCACGTCCTGAGACCACCAAAGGGGCTCTGGTGGCACAGTACCTGAGGCATTTGGCTGCTAAGCGGAAGGTCAGTGGTTCAAACCCATCCGCCGCTCCACAGAAGGATGATGGGGCAATCTACTCCATGAGATCTGCCACCTCGGAAACCCAATGCAAGTCACTATGAGTCAGAATCGACTGGATGGCGGGGAGTTTGGTTGTTTAGGTTTTTTGAGACACAGAAGAGCTTCTGAGACGATGACCTGGGTGACACGGAGGCAGGTGGTGGGGGCAGTGGGGCCGTGGTGACCACACGCGGTGACCTCCTGGGGCTGTGGCACTGAGGGCGAGAGGAAAGGTGTCCCTTCAGGTGGCTGTTCCCCTCGTCCTGGGGCAGCCTTTGTCACCCTCTCTCGTAAGCCGCGTGCTTCAGGGACACGGACACTCGGGGCTTGACGGAGAACCTTTGGTACCTTTGAGAAACCACAGATGTAAACGCACCAAGTTACTGGGGCCCAGGGAAGGCTGCCGCCCGTGGCCAGCGCCTCACTGCTTAGAAGAGCATTTTCGAGGCCCATCGGAGGCAGGCGCACCTGCTCTCCTGCAGCCCGGGAACGAGGAAGCGTTCTGTGGGCCTGCGGGGCCTTCTCTCCCATGCGGGGCCGTGGCCGGAATCGTGTGGGACGTGGAGGGGACACCCAGGACGAGGAAGCGTTCTGTGGGCCTGCGGGGCCTTCTCTCCCATACGGGGCCGTGGCCGGAACCGTGTGGGGACGTGGAGCGGACACCCGGGAACGAGGAAGTGTTCTGTGGGCCATGTGGGGTCCTGCCCAGAATCCTGTGGGGACGTGGAGGGGACAG